AATAATAAGTGAGATATTGAGATGAGAATTCATAATAAATAATTATGTATAATATTAAACATTATTTGTAACAAATATTTGATTATAAAAAAAAAAAAACATATATCTGGGATTTGTATAATAATTGATTATGACTAAAGTAAGTATTTACTTGTAACACATATTTATGATATTGTTGAATGATAGATAATATATAGAAATTAACAAAATTTATTTCATGGTAATAGATATAGTTAAAGCATTTATTTAGTCAAGAAAAATTGGAGTGCAAATTCCAATACATTTAAAATATATATTAATTATTTATATGACATAAATATTTTTTGTTGATAAATCATGCATAGAAATTGATAAAATTTATTACAATGTATTAAATGTAGTTTTTGGGGGGAAATTTTGAGCTGTTTTGCTTTTATATATATATAGATATTAGATATTAGGATTCAAGATAGTTGTAAAATAAATCAACTAAATTATTTAGAAGGATATATATGATAACAGTCTTTCTTAATTTAAGGAAGGAAAAATTGTGTAAGTGTAACGCCAATTCAAGGACTACTCACCTCATTAATAACAACAGACCCGGAAACAATGGATAGCGTCGCAAACAGAAAGTTTTCATCCGACGAGCCTATAGTGCCGATCAAAGAAGTTTGTCGATCACGCCTGGATTGGCAGGGAGCAATCGTCACTCTATCTCTATCTTCGAATAAGTTACAGTGCAATTCTATCATCCCCATTCGGATGCATTAGTCATCACCACCACTATCTTTAATGTTCTGTTTCTGCTCCCTTTCATACCACAATCGCCCCATCTCCTCCCTCAGAGTATAGTGAGGATGTTGATAATCGTGAGGCTTTGGTGCAGATCGATCGTCGACCAAAGTCGTGATTCAGATGTTGGAGGGGGATAGCATACCAATTACACTCTCGGAATCCCTTCGCCCGGTCGACGTACAAAGGCTTGTTTTAGCGACAGACGAGATGGCCGACGATCCTTGAATTTCTATTCGTTACGGCCGTGGCGTTGGCAAGTGTTTTTTTTTTTCAAACGATAGGAGATGCTCATAAAAAATAAAAAGGGTCATGGTACAAACTGTCGTGCCTACCAAATGGATAGAAATAAACTGGGAGATCCACTACACACAGTGGTCTACGAACAAGCCCACTCGAGGTATCAAGTGGGTACAACCACCCGAGCCTTGACAACACCTCCTACCTAATTCAAACCAAAGCAATCTCCACAAATCCAAATCGCCATCTGCAATGGCAGCGTGAGGCAATCGAGCCTCGGATCTGGTGGCTGACCGACAGGCTTCGTGAGCAGAGCACACAATCAGGGATGAAATTAGACACCAACTGTCCCTTTTGTCCTACAACATGGCTATGGCGGACAAGCATCGACAAATATTGTTTGTGGCTCACCATGAAAAAGCAACGAGCAGCTGACGAGGTTCATCGGAGGTCGTCATCGAGTTAGAGGAATGAAACTTGATGAACTGGAGACCTAAGAGTTGCGAAAACGAACAAATTAGCGACGTCTCATTTTGTGGCTCGCCGAATGGTGAGTACCAACAACGATATTGGGTTTTCTTGTTGATGAAAAGTTGTTTCCATGTTGTATAATGGTGTTTTATGTTGTTTAGGCATCCACTATCACATGCATTTGTTATTTTCATTCTTTTTTCTTATTGAAAGTTGGATCGTGTGTTGTTTGCTCTGGATTCTCTGGTGTCCTGCTTGCCTTTTGTATTTGTATTTTTTTCGGTGGCCTAAGTGCCTTTTGGCATAGGAATTCAATAAGTATGTAAAAATAAATACCAGAAAAGGTGCTCACATCATAAGCAAGTCGAATGCTTTTGAAATCCTTATTAGCTCATATCTCTTTATTAACATCTGGATGGTAGTGCACACAATGCATCGAATTCAAGGGGTTTAAGTGATAACGAGATTTCGAGCTGGTAGGATAACAAAAGGAGAGTGACACTAAAGAGTATATCAGGGTTTTTTTTTTTATGTAAATTATTAGGCATTAAACAAAGCAAGTTTTGTTCAGACTATTTGTTAACCAAGAAAAAAATGCATATTTGAAGAGTAACATCAACTTCATTTCTCTACAGGCTGCCTTTACAAACCAACTAAAGAACCCCCAACACCGCGTAGAAAAGATGACGCGATTTCACTTTCATTTTTCCAATCAAATTAAAAAAATTCGCCAATTTCACCAATTTCAATTTTTTTTTTTGATCGACAAGCTAATGGAAATTAGCTCCGAAATTTTATTTCATATTATTTTATTACTAATTCAAAGTTGTTTTTGTGTTAATTTTTTTTTATGATTGAAATAAAATTTATGATCGACAAACTAATTGATGGGTCCCTACAGAACATACCCGCAAAATGTCCAACTAGTTTGAGTAAGCCAATTTAAGGAAGACTCACCTCATTAATAACAATAGACCCGAAAACCATGGATCGCATCATCAACAAAAGGTTTTCATCCGACGAGCCTATAATGTTGATCAAAGAAGTTTGTCGATCACGCCTAGATTGACATGGAGCAACTGTCACTCTTCTCTGCCTTCGAATTAGTTACGGTGATAGTCTGGCATCCCGATTCGGACGCATTGGTCATCACCACCACAATCTTTAATGTCTCTGTTTACCGCATGGACACTAGGGCGTATGTCAGTTGCATCTTCCTCAAAACAATCAGCAAAATGGGCGTCGATCTCACTGAAGTATGCCTTTGCAATGATATGTCAGAGAGTTCGATGGGGACATCTTCCTCCTATAGGTACCTTGCCAATCTCATTTGGCAATCGGAGATCGCCCTCCCTAACCATTTTGGAATCCTTCAAAATAGTGGAGTAAGTCACCGAATACAACGTTATATTGGTCGACTGAACAGTCTCAAGGCCACCACATCCATCTTCCATTATGCCTTGAAATTATCTACCCTTGACAGGGAAGGGACCCACTATGACAATCTATGTGCCACTCGTGAAAGTGTTCTGGCAATCCCCTCAAAATAAATATTCACTATTCAAAAGGAGACTCATCATCAACACCTCTTGATCAATCCCCCGAAAATGAGTTGGATATTATCCGAGATCGAGGTCGTCGTCTAGGGAAGGAGCATGACTGACTGACGAACTAGACCCTCATCTACCCTTCACAGAACAAGCTGTCGATCGACCCCAACCTATGGAGGAGGTCGATTCAGTTTGCATAGAGGAACCATTTTTCACTAAGTACTTGCAGATCGAGAGGAATTCGATTGAGCCTTACCTATCTCAACTAATCGATTTTCTTAAAACAATTTGTATGTCTTTGTGTGGTCACATGAAGACATAAAAGGTATCGTCCCAGATGTCGTGTGTCATCACCTCAATATTGATAAAACCGTGAAGCCAGTCATTCAGAAAAGAAGGAAGTTTGGGCCTGATCGCCAACAAGCATTGGAACAAGAAATTTTCAAGTTGATCGACTACAAGTTTATTTGCAAAGCTCGATACCCAAAGTAGGTCTCCCATATGGTGCTTGTCAAAATTCTAATGGACAATGGCGATTGTGCATCGAATTTACCGATCTCGACCATGCATGCCCCAAGGATAGTTACTCTCTTACTCATATCGATTACATGGTCGACGCCACCTCTTGCCAGAACCATGAGCTTCATGGACGCATATTCAAGGTACAACCAAATACTCATAACCGCTTGTAAATGTGTATTTTTAATGAATATTATCGTTCAAAAAATAAATGTGTATTTATAATGAATATTATCATTCAAAAAAAAAAAGAAGGAGCAAAATGTACTAATCGTCCAGCGTATTGCACTGGTTTACCGTTACTGGTGATGGAGTGATCCACTCTTAGGGTGAGTTTGATTGTAATAATGGATTGGACTTTATATAATATTTTTGATTGTTTCACAGGCTTTCCATTTGTTTAGCTACTACATTAACTTGTTTGGTTTAGAAAT